TGTTGTTCTAGGTCACATTTCTTGCGAGCAAAGTTCCAATAATCTAAACTCCTGCAAACACAACCCCACTGATGACAGCTCCAAGGAGAACCTGGCCTGTAAATGTGCCCTTGATGGGGATGTTGGGCTGGGAAGACTGATATCAGGAGGAAAAAAGAGTGACCTCACATCTGAACCTGGTCCTGCTGAAAGTCTCTAGTGGGCTGGCACTTCCCCGAGAAGAAGCTCCACCCCCGTCTCCCTCGTCACCGCATCTCAGGCTGAGGGGCTCCTGAAGCCCCTTGTGCTGCACATGGCACGTGTATCTCTGCTCCTCTCCAGGAGGCACCACCAGGGCCGCCCACTTCTGGAAGGTCCCGTCCCCTGCAGGCCTGGTCTCCACGAGCTCCGTGTCCTGGGCCTGGTCCTCCCCATCACGTTGCCAGGTCAGTGAGATCTCCGCAGGGTAGAAGCTCAGGGCCCAGCATCTCAGGGTGACGTCCCTCTTGGGCTGGGATGTGGGTCAGGTGGGTCTAGAGGCTGTGTGATAGACAAAGCAGGGGGAATGCAGGGAAGGGCCTGTTCAGCTGCATCGACTCCAAAGACAAACATGCTATAACTCCTGATGGTCTGGCCAAAAACCAGCGCGAGGCAGTGCAGGTCCTCCTAGCAGGAGGAGAAGGGAACAGGCACTAAGCAAAACCGGCACCAAGACTAGGGCGTGAGAAGTCTGTCCAACATTCTCCTCCAGGATAGGAGCCTCTTCCAAGACTCTGCTCCCTCTTATCAAGCCCATTAGTCCATGTTTCTAGATAAACATTTTTAGACACTCCTAGCTGCCTGGTCTCTAGTGAGAAAGGGCCTGTGATGTGAATATAAACCTCTGAGAGCCTGGGAACTAGCCCTGTGCTCTCCTGGCAGTGGTTTCATAACAGAGGGGCCCAAGAAGAACGGGTGAGGTGGCCCCGCCCAGGAGGCTGGGATGGATGAGGTGTCCTCACTCCCTGTCCCCATCCATCCCACAGGGCATGTCCGAGTCCCCTTGGCTTGATGGGTTCTGGGGAGCCCCCAGCACCGTGGAGAGAGAACTGGCCAAAGCGGGGTGCTGGCGGAGGACTGAGTGGGCCACGGGAGGTCATTCCCAGTGTGGTTCACACTGTCCCCTCCGAGCTCCAAATCTCTCCGCAGCCACAGGACGCACTCCTCAAATACACCCTTTCTCTCTCTATGAAGTTCCCCCTGGACCTCCATTTTTGTGCAGTGGCCATGAAGGAGACTGCAGTGTGCTCCAAGAGTCCATATCCAGGCTCGTGGATTCATCACCATCACAGCTAGGGCCCCATGGTCCTTCCATCCTCCCAGAACTCATGGTCATAGGTGAACTCGAGGGGCAGGGGCTGGCCCGCCCCCAAGCCCAGGCAGTGTCAGTCAGGCAGTCGGGCCTCCAAGGCCTCTCCATCCATGGTCCCTTCCCCTCCTCACTCCTATTCTCTTGGCTTCTCCTTAGAGGACATTCACATTGTAGATTGTGACACTGTGACACAGTAAGAAGGATATGTTTGAGTGTTCATCCAGGGTCCCCAGCACAGCTCCTACAACCTTTGTAACCTCCTAAACCTTGAGCACAGCAGAACATCTCTTATTATAATACTTGATTTTTGTTCCCAGTTCCTGAAACAGCTCCAGAGCAGTACGGTGACAGGAGCATGTCTTTATAATATGCAATCTGTTGTCCTCTAGTCCTGGAAAAGTTCTGAGTGTAAAGGTGAATACACCTGTCCTTCATCACAAGCCCCTCACAACCCCACCTGAGTTTATGTTAACAAGCTGATAACCGCAGGATGC